AAAGTTTTATGTAGCTGAAAACTTGTGCTTGATTTAAAGAGTCAGGCTCTTCTATTGGCTGGTAGGTTGTCATCATCTTTGTCACCTTTTTTAATTAGAAGTCCACAACTTTGCAAAGGATTACATCATTATGTTCTGTGGGAAAAATATGCAAGCACAGAAATAATAATAGAAAAGAAAATGGAAGATAAACTCTCAACATACTTTGAAACTTCTTCTAATGACATTGCACTAATGCAGAAATAGATAACACAGTTTCCAGCTTTTGCATCTGTAGTTCACCATAGCTGGGTTGCAATAGCAATTTCTTTCATTCTATTCACATCTCACAGATTCTAGGTTTCCAGAGAACGTTTGTTGAACAAATTCTCACAATAAAGTAAATTATGCCATTGTCCCAGCAAAACACCATTGTCACATTGTTGTTATTATTTTTATTGAAAAATATTTGAACTTTGCATCTCTGAAAGGTTTCTGTCTTACTCAGGCTCTTGCAAGTTTTACTATATAAAGCATTATTAAAGACTTATAATGTGATTGCTTGCAAAAAATTCATCAGTTCTAATAATGATCCTCTGAAATGTTTACTTATTTTTATACAAAACATTTAAAAATAGCAATGAAGCAAAAGTTTTGTCATTTTCTTAAAAAATTAATAATTCTCAAAATATTATATGATGATAACTCCTTTTAATATAAAAGCATTTAATTGGCACAAAATTATTTATAAAATTTAGGAAAAAAGAACTTACAAAAATAATTATTAATAAGTAAAGGAAATTTTTCTAGAAAGATGATAAAATTTTATAAGTGGAATAATTAAAAGCCAAAAATTCTCATTTTACAAGTCAAAATTTCTTTTTGTTTACAAAAGATTTTGGTTACAGGTCTAGTTTTGGTGTCCAAAACTAGACCTGTAACCAAAATCTCCCATTACAATAATAAAATCTTTTTCATCCCTGACTTTGAAACAGGAAGGAAAACACTTTTAACTTTATTTCAGTAATAAATTGAAGTCAATAGATATAAATATTACATCTATGATGGTTATATGAAATTTGGTGTGTTTACTTTTAATATTTTGGATCAAATTACACAAAATAAAAAATAATACATAGTGGGAGAGAGGGAAAAAAAGTCACTTAACATCCCTGCTACAGAATATAGAATGTACAGTACATTGAGCACATGTAACATACATAACTAACCATTCAAGGTAAGTCAATAAAACCTTTCAGCAATCAATTCCTTGTGAAATTCTGATCCTAAATAGTGTGTCACATTACTCCCTCCCTTCCCATTTACAGTTTCAGAGTTGTATTCAATATGGCAGCCATGCATGTAACACACATCAAGCTGTTTCTCCCTTGGTCTAATGTGTTCCTAATGTAAGCAAATTAACTTTGGGTACATTCTATATTCTGTAGCAGGAATGTTAAATGACTTTCTTTCCCACCCTGTACTATTTTAAAATAAACTAGAAGTGTTTTATATGCTTATGTGATGTTCGAAGCAACGTATATGTGGTTCCGCGAACAGGAATACATAAAAGAAATTCAATACAGTAAAGTCTATAACACAAGTCAACTTTATTTGCCTCAAATAGGTTCAAAGATCCCAACTCAGAGAAAACTTATAAGAAAATTAATGTAATTTGAGTGCAAAGGTGTGTACTGTTGAAGTTAAAAAAATATCTAAACAGTGCTGAAGAATATTCACAATGATAAGATTAGTGTTAAATAGAGAATTTGTTGAGAGTTTCATTTTCACAAAGATCCCAATTCCTTTATATGATTGAGCTGACCAATACATGACAATATTAGTGCGAGGACTTATAACTATGACTTAACCTAAATATAAACTAAGGAGAAGAAAAAAAATAGATGGTAAAAATAAGAGAAGGGGAAGAAAGAAGCACCCAGGGAGTTTTATTCACGTGTCTCAGGTGGACCACTGCTAACAGATATTCAATTGATTCCAGCACTTCTGAATTGTTCTTCTCTACTGTACCAGTCCATCTTCCTTTGAAGTTTCCTTATAATTTCTTCACTCTGGATTCCTTGATGAGGAAATATTGGCTTTTGGAAAAATCGCTGAACTTCATTCTTTATATTACAATTCAGGAGCACTACAAAAGCTGATTCAACTCTATCCAATTAGGTTCTCTAGCTCTTTTCATAAGTCTTTATCGCCTATGATCTCCACCAGTAACCAAGAGCACAACTCTACGATGATCCTCTCATGTAGAGATCTCGACCAAAACCGAGACAGGATTATCTTGTTTTTCCATCTTGCTGGTTTTCTACCATTAATAAGATACACCATTTTTCTACTACTATCTATTGCCTATACCAGGGATGTCCAATCCACAGCCCACACTGCACCCTAAATTTTTTAGGTACATTTTCATTTATTTTGATAAAGTATGTCATAAAAATTATTCTCGTTTCACTGGATACCTTTTGATATTGTAACGACGTAATTGGTGCTAAAAAACTGTTTTTCTAGATAAAGAAACTGTACTACCCCACATGCATAACATACTGTTGTAAACAATTCTTTTTGTGCATGAAAAACATGAAAACTGCTGAAAGAAATAAGTTGAGTGATTCCAATTTAATTAACATTCTTAGAATTAAGACTAGAAACATAAAAGCAGATATTGACAATATTATAAAGGAAGGCAATGAAAAATGCACTAAATTTATTTTGTGAGAGTATAATTTCATTTTTTTACTATCAATAATACAGTATTTTTTGTAATTATATATATTTGTTATTTTGAACTTTTTAAAAGCATATATTTATATAAAGTACCTTTATGGCCCACTGAATGTACCTAAATTTCTAATTTGGCCCACTAAAAAAAAAAAGGTTGGACAACCCTGCCAATACCAATGTCCTGAAAATGTCTCTCTTATGAGATTGGGTGAAATTAGTAAGTTTTTATTATTTACATATGTTTATTCAAACTGCATTTATTACTGATGTCTGCGTAAATTGTAAAGAATTTATATATTATACAAATAAGCAAGCATAATTTACTTTATTAAAACAATCTAATGTTGCATTTAGTTGTCTTTCATTTTTAATGAAGTTAATGAAATGAATTTCTAAATCTGTAACCTTATTGAAAAATTTTGGGTTTTTCTTTAGCTTTTGCAAGTTCCTTAAAAGTTTTATGTAGCTGAAAACTTGTGCTTGATTTAAAGAGTCAGGCTCTTCTATTGGCTGGTAGGTTGTCATCATCTTTGTCACCTTTTTTAATTAGAAGTCCACAACTTTGCAAAGGATTACATCATTATGTTCTGTGGGAAAAATATGCAAGCACAGAAATAATAATAGAAAAGAAAATGGAAGATAAACTCTCAACATACTTTGAAACTTCTTCTAATGACATTGCACTAATGCAGAAATAGATAACACAGTTTCCAGCTTTTGCATCTGTAGTTCACCATAGCTGGGTTGCAATAGCAATTTCTTTCATTCTATTCACATCTCACAGATTCTAGGTTTCCAGAGAACGTTTGTTGAACAAATTCTCACAATAAAGTAAATTATGCCATTGTCCCAGCAAAACACCATTGTCACATTGTTATTATTATTTTTATTGAAAAATATTTGAACTGAAAGGTTTCTGTCTTACTCAGGCTCTTGCAAGTTTTACTATATAAAGCATTATTAAAGACTTATAATGTGATTGCTTGCAAAAAATTCATCAGTTCTAATAATGATCCTCTGAAATGTTTACTTATTTTTATACAAAACATTTAAAAATAGCAATGAAGCAAAAGTTTTGTCATTTTCTTAAAAAATTAATAATTCTCAAAATATTATATGATGATAACTCCTTTTAATATAAAAGCATTTAATTGGCACAAAATTATTTATAAAATTTAGGAAAAAAGAACTTACAAAAATAATTATTAATAAGTAAAGGAAATTTTTCTAGAAAGATGATAAAATTTTATAAGTGGAACAATTAGAAGCCAAAAATTCTCATTTTACAAGTCAAAATTTCTTTTTGTTTACAAAAGATTTTGGTTACAGGTCTAGTTTTGGAGACCAAAACTAGACCTGTAACCAAAATCTCCCATTACAATAATAAAATCTTTTTCATCCCTGACTTTGAAACAGGAAGGAAAACACTTTTAACTTTATTTCAGTAATAAATTGAAGTCAATAGATATAAATATTACATCTATGATGGTTATTTGAAATTTGGTGTGTTTACTTTTAATATTTTATCAAATTACACAAAATAAAAAATAATACATAGTGGGAGAGAGGGAAAAAAAGTCACTTAACATCCCTGCTACAGAATATAGAATGTACAGTACATTGAGCACATGTAACATACACAACTAACCATTCAAGGTAAGTCAATAAAACNTTACATGTATTTGACATTTTATTTGTGATTAAACGAAATAAAATTGAATTGTATTAATAAATCTAATTTTCTTTATTTTAATCTTTAAAGTTACACCTCATCCTATATGCAAGATTATAAGCAAGTAAATATAGTAATTGATATATACAAAAACTATACATTAAAATAGCTGATGGCCACACTTAGAAAAAGTGGACAAATAATGAAGAAAAAAAAACTTGTTTTATGTTACGTCCATAGTTACACAATTTCAGATTTAAAAAAAATGATCCCACTTGACTATTAGCTAATCACAGTTGAAAATGAATGTTCCTATAGATGTAATATCTTTAAAATTTGTTTAGCAGCTTAACATTTTGTAAAGCTGCTTAGAATACTTAAATCATTCAGAAATAATTTCATAATTCAATTATTCTTAATTATTGTTTAATATGTAAATTCTATTAGTCTTGCTAATTTAATAATTAAAATTTTTTTTAAAAATTCAAAATAAAGAAAATATATAAAAAATAATTATTATTAAAACATAAATTTAAAAATTAAGTTCATTTTTATTTTCAGATTGCTTTTATCAATAACATTACAGTTAATATCAGATGATACTCACCCACTATCTCCAAGTATAATTACTTTCAAAAGAACTTTTTTTCTAGATGCCATTATCCTATTCAAAAAAATAAGTTTAAAATTTAATATAAAATCTAAGTATTGTTTTAACATTAATTTTCAAACACTTTAAATTTTGATTCAGTAATACTAATTATTAAAAGATGCAAGGCACTAGTTTCATTATTAAGTGTATTTGATTACCAAAATCTTAAAATATTTGTTAAGAATATAGACTTTGAAATATTTTGTTTCATCAGCTGGATCCTATGTTATATAAAACACTTTATAAGAAAATTAATGTAGATTTGAGTTGCAAAGGTGTATACTGTTGAAGTTAAAAATATCTAAACAGTGCTGAAAAATATTCACAATGATAAGAATAGTGTTGAATAGAGAATGTGTTGAGAGTTTCATTTTCACTAAGCAAAACATCTATGCTAGTTGAAAAAATTGATTTGCGGGAAAAAAACAGATCAATTACATGCTTCAATGATATTAAATAGTCAAGTCAAAGTGGTTGAACAGATTATATCAAATCATCAATTTATGAATATAAAATTTTGTAATTCATATTTTTGAGATATCTAGAGCTTTAAATAAGATTATTAGAATAACTCTCTACAGTCTATTAAGTCCAACATGTGTTTCACTAAGTACATTTATCATAAACAAGATTACTTCAAGTTTATTATTATTATTAAGTTTCACTAGCTATATTATAAAATACAGTTTGATGTGTCCAGTTTCCAAACAAAGCATATCTATAAAGCAATAAATAACAGTACTATACATTGAACAATTTCAATATTAGAAAGTAAAATAAAACTGCATTTTGATAAAAGACATCAAAACAAAGATGAATAATTTAAAAATCAAATATTTATTATATTATGATATTATGAACAGAAAGAAAAGTTCAAAATTACAATTGAATATTTTATTGACAAACTAAATATTGTACTCAGTTCTTCTTTAAAATACTTAATAAATTATCAAACACCTGATGCTGAGAATGTTTATTAAACAAACATTAACGTTTTAGACCCAATATGATATGCTACCTTCAGATGCAACCAAAAATTGAACGTATTTGAACTTAACATTTAAACAGCATTTAAACACTCAAAAATAGCTTTCAAGAGAGCACCTAATTTATACAGTATTTTAAGAAATGATAAAGACATGATTAAAAAAGAAGAAAAAGTGGGCATATAAAAAATTCCATTCAGGAATTAAGAAGGACTATATTGGGATCACAAGAAGAAATTTAGCTATCAGAATTAAGGAACACAAATATGAATTAATAAAGGGTACTGCAACACAGTATTATCCTGTATGGCACAAGCAGAGGACACTATGGTTAAATGGAATGAAGCAACTATCCTCAGGGCTATGCATCATTAGCATCACAAAGAAAAAATTGAAATCTATAAAAGTAAATTAAAGGATGGTTGTATTAACACCAGGGATGCGGATGGACTAGCTTCTGCATGGAAATTCTACATAAAAGAAAAACTAACATATAAAAATTCTTAGTCCAAACCTGCAATTAAACTTAAATGAAATCATCATCTTTATCTTTTCCCATGTTTATATGGGGTCGGCATTTCCTTCTCTAATATGTTTTTTCTATTTCTCCCTATCAAGGGCTTCTCTCTTAAGTCCCCCCCTGGTTCAAGTCTTCTTCCACCTTATCTGTCCAATGCATCTTTGGTCTTCCTCTTTTCCTTTCTACTACCAGTTTTCCGATCTTTCCGACACACTGTATTTACTCGCAAATAAGACAAGGTATTTATTCATTTTTCATTGCTTCAAAAATCTAGGTTGTCCTATACGTGCAAGCACAAGATTTTTTGCAGTTTTGCAATAATTTTTGTGAACCATGTGCTTGCATATTTTTACCGGATGCTTACCCTCGTGTTTAAAAACAAAAGTATTTTATCTGGGTCATTTCAATCATTCTTGGGTATTGTCAGGAGTAAAGATGAATAGCAATAGGAAAAGCAAAGCTGTTGAATTGAATTCCAAAATCACATGGGAGCTCAATATAAGTTTTAATCCATTCCTACATGAAACACATGATTATTCAGAAATCAGAATTTCTCATAATTGGAGAAACTCATAAGTGTAATCAACTGTTAATAATTGGCAAAAAAGGTTTCCAATTGTCCAACTTTACATAAACAAATTATGTTGTTGATTTCACAAGATTTTTCCTTAAGGTTTAAAATGCCAGTAATTTTTGCAGGACAATGTGTGCATTTACATGTATTTGACATTTTATTTGTGATTAAACGAAATAAAATTAAATTGTATTAATAAATCTAATTTTCTTTATTTTAATCTTTAAAGTTACACCTCATCCTATATGCAAGATTATAAGCAAGTAAATATAGTAATTGTCACTTATTCGCTCTACGTGGCTAAATCACCTCAACCTACATTCTTGCATCTTTTTGCCCACCTTAACAGAACGTCTAATAAAATCATTCCTTATTCTATCCTTCCTTGACACTCCACATATCTATCTCAAAATTCTCATCTCCGCCACCTCTATCTTTCTTTCTTGGGCTCTTGTTATTGCCCATGTCTCCATATAACATTGCAGGTCTAACAACTGATTTATACAAATTTTGTTTCAAATCACAGCTAACTTTCTTGTCACATAACATACAGCTCAGCTTCTTCCAGTTCATCCACCCATATTGAATTCCATCCACATTGACATCCTGCACCTTCAAGTTCAATCCTCCTCCCATCTAGACAAATGTCCCAAGATATCTAAAACTTGGAACAAAAGGGAGCAGCACATTTTGGATTTTAATATTACACTCATCACTACCATTCAGAGTCATATAAGCTGTTTTAGTTCTGCTAATCTTCATGCCCCTTTCTTCCAAAACTTTCCTACAATATTTCTTCTAAACTTTCCTTATACTTAAATGAAATAAATACATAAAAATGCCTCTATATTTATTTTATTTTACATATGTTATTTGTTATTTTATTATATTATTTACATTGTTATTGTATTAGTTTATTTACAGTCCCCCTATAACACTGTTGATTATTCCGTTTTATATAAAATCTAAGTGACTTGTTGTACAAGTCACTTAGATTTTACAAATACGTGTGCCGGGCTGTGAACTGCTCACGTATTTGTAAAATCTAAGTGGCTCATACAACATGGAATTCATATAAAATGGAATAATCAACAGTGTTATGGGGGAGGGGTCAACCATAGTATATTTTGTTTTATTTTATAATTTATTTGTTAATTTATATAGTATTTTGTTTTAAATTTAAATGTAAAAGTGTTTGAACATTCTGCCATTTAAATGTTAAGTTCAAATACATTCGAATTTCAGTTGCATCTGAAAATGGCCTAATGTATTGGGTCAAACACAATGTTTGTTTAATAAGCATTTCTGAACATCAGATGTTTGATGATTTATTAAGTATTTTATTGACATTTAAATTTTGAAACAATATTTAAAATTTTAAAAATATTTTAATTTCAACACATTTACAATTTCATATAAATATTTAAGTGATTTATTATTCTTTCTGAAAGTAAATACTGTTAAAAATTTTAACACAGTTGACTTGCCTTAAAGCAATAGGGATAAAGCAAATTTCACCTTTGCCTGAGAAAATGTCATTGTCACAATGTTAATTTTCATTGATAAAGCAAACAAAAATTTTACCAGAATGATTTAAACCAAACTATAAGTTACCTCCACAACCATTTAAAAAATAACCCTATTTCCAATTATGATTGCTTTTTACACTTTTTGATGCTAACAATAAAAAGTGGCACTGTAATAAATGTTGTATTTTAAGTAGAATAAATTTTCTCCCCCTAAGTAAACAAAAATGGAGTTAAGAATGGCCACCACTTTAAATGGATACAGTCCCATGCAAATACATGCTAATTTGCTTATCAAGGATTGAATTGCATTCGTTGATGCTACAGTGATGTGAAGTTTGGCTACTTTGCACCAAATTTTGGCTCCTCTTTACTCTTTGTGCTAAAAACATTTTCTACCTTTTCAAACAATCAACAGAAAAAAATGACAAATTTCTTTTAGCTTTGTTTTGTTTAACCACTCTGATATACTGTTCCACACTTAGATGGCAAATATTCTCCTCATTTTGTTTGATTCCCCTGAAAACTCATTAATATGAATTTTTGATAAAGTGAGCCAACTTCCGTTCCCTTAGTGCAGTATTTTTCAACCTTTTTTATCTCATGGCGCACTTGAACCTAGAATTAAATTTCCACAGAAAAGAATCACATGATTTAAAACCATATTTGTAAACATTATTTTGCCATATTACTTGCCACTTAAGCTATACTTTTTGCTTATATTTATTGTAAATTAAATAAAATAGTATTGCTGTTCCTTAAAATGGCAGATTACAATAATACAGGTATACCTCGCCTTACGTCGGTAATTGGTTCCAGGAGAACGACGTAAGTCGAATTTACTTGTCTCCGAATCTACTTGTCACTAGGCTAAACCATAAATTACCATTCCCTGTTCTGTATTTTATTTATTAATGCATTTTTAATAATATATGGTTAATAAAAATCTATTTTAAGCTTACAAACAAATAAATTTTAGTTTTTAATATAGTACAGAAAAAAGTATTCTAAATTTACGAATGCATGTACTGTAAATACAGA